TTTGCCGCTATCTCACCTGCCGTGAATACAATAGCTCTAAGGTCAACCTTAAATGAGGAACAAAATAAAGAAATACCGCAGAAAAGCTATCATGGCAAACAGGCCATACTGCATCGAAGGTCAGCTATGGGAACCAATGCGAAAGTCGGTCAAAAGTTGAAAGTATCATAGTGATGCTAAAGTGTTATTATGCCATTATTAATGATCAATTTTTTTTTTTTAATAATGCTGATTATGCTAACTTTGATTTTCTATAGGGCCCATTACATTCTGTAGAAAAAAAAATATTAAAATTGTAATGATGTCTAATCAATAATAATTATATTATTTTTATGGTAATTGAAACCTTATTTATTTTTCTTATTTTATAACTTTTTGAAATATAAACATACTAACATGTGATACCGATTAAAATTTCAGGCATAATTAAGCTTAAGTTCTTAATTTGAATTCCGGTATCTGCAGATTATAAAAACCACTGACACACTCATCAAACATATTTATCTGGTTCATTTACATAATCTGGCGGTGCACCACATCATGGAATGGTACATTCCACAGAACACACAAGAACAATCACCAGTCGGAGATTGTATCGTTATTCTGTGTTATTATATGTGGATCATCCAATAAGGACTGAAGAATATTGTACACTAACGCACTGATATAAAATTGATTGATTGAATGCAAACCAATCCTGGTAAAAAAACAAAATTTGTTGGATTATGTTAATCCCTAGTATAAGATTAGCTTTTACTGATGAATTGCACATCCTGCTAAAGTCGCAAAGACTGAATGAAGTTTAGAGATAAAAACTGAATTTTGTTCTTGTTTTGATCCCATTTCTGGGAAACACATTTCTGGGAAACATGCTGTAAAGAGTTTTAGTAGATGATGTCATTACAGTAAAAGTAAACCTAGAAAATTGTCATCGAAGTTTGATTAAAGTTTTGTGCATTAAATGATTTCATCAATTTTAATTCCTCATAAAAGGATAAAGAATAGCTTATTACCTTTACTTAAAATGTCATGTGTGAGTGGCTGCAAACTGAATGGAATCTCAGGAAAGATGAGAGTAAATTGATGTAAAAGCGCTAAAAAAGTATTTTTCTATATTCTTTATTTTTAAGTCTTTGTCATAAACAATATTCTATCTACATTTCAGTATGGCTTATTTATTTTACCAATAATGTTATGTACTTTAAGCTAAGACTGGGCACTCACTGCATCATACGTCTATATTCTTTATTTCTAAGTCGTCGCGTTGCGTTGTTTATAGAATCGCGTCGGCCGATGACCGTCGTGTGCAGTGAGTGCCCAGCTTCAAGATTCAAGATGAGTTTGCACGAAGACAAGAAAAAATTGATATAAAAATGGATAAAATGAATATCACAGGCAAATGAGTGGCCCAGAGTTGCAGAACAGGTCAGTTCATGTTCATGTTGGTGTAGCCTTTATAGTAAAGTCTTCACTCTCACCCTCCTGTCCACGCATTCTCTCAAGCTGCTAATAAACCCCTCTCCCTTTGATCACTCTTGTTAAAAATGTTTTAAATAAAATAAAAATGGAAAAGTATGATGGAAGAAACATAGTGACAAGATGAAAATAGGTGTGTGTAAAGGCTGTTTATTAACCAGATGAATGGTGGCTAAGAAACTTTATTATATCGCAGAAAGTTGGATTTATAAATTATGATTTATAAATTAATTGATAAATATGATCAAATGACTTAGCAAATAGATATTTATCAGAATATTGGAAGGTACATTAGGAGAGATAAGATTACAAAGGGGAAAATTAAATGCGAAAGCTAAATGTAGAGTGAGGCAGAACACATGGTACAGATTAGATGGATATTGGGTAAGTGAGCACAAGGCTTGCTGTAGACCTTGGTTTAGTAATCCTTTTACCAACAGTATTTGAAGCCAACGGTGATACTAATTGTTCTAATTCTACATTTTAAACGGAATTAAAGTACTACTTTTTATCCCGATGACCTTTCTAAGATCCCGGAATCTTAATCCGCTTTTATGTTACTCACCCTCGGGGATGTGGTATTGAGATGACAAGGGGTAATAGTAGTGGATGGAAGAGGTGCACCTTGGATGTAGAATGGAGGAAATTAGCACGTGGTTTATCTTTTGTTACTGTATTAATACTTAGTATATCTTAAAATTAATCTTGTTTTACTTTATTTGGTTGATAGACAATATATTCTCTGGTGTCTTGCCATAATTAGCTCAATTATTTTTCTCCGAAATTATATGAGATTTCTTCAATCTTTTTATTGATAACTTTCCATTGTGTTAGTTGCATGATTTTGATCAGCTCATTTCAGCATTTCATTAATATTAAACCAAATTTTCAAAACTATTTTTCCTTTTTTTAACTGGATTAGGCAAGATTCTTTTTATTCCTTGTTTCGCGTACTTATTTTTTTAAAGGTCATCGGAGGAGGGCGGAATAAAAATGAAATTTTGTTTCCTTATTTAGAAAATAGTTTTGCCAAAAACATCCAGACGGAGGAGAAAATAAAGATAAATTTTTATTGGTGAATGTAAAATGGGATGGTTAAACGCTTCAAATTCATATAATTAGGAAGTACAGTAATATGCATGTCTTATCTTTGGAGATTTCAAGTCAGCGGAGGGCGTAATAAAAATTAATTTTTTTTCTGCAATTTCCACTTTTTGTTGCGCTAATTGGCCAAAAATAAAATTTTATTTTTATTTGAAATCAATATTTGCAGTCGGCGGGTTCGCTAAACAAGGTCTAAAAAAAGTCTCGCCTTATCTGCTAAAAATAATTTTAAATTTCAGTGTTTTCATTTTATTTTATTTGTTTTTTAGATAGTGTATATATGAATTTAATTTTATCAAAGCTTTGTTTAAAATTATTTTTTTAATAGTTGAGGCAAGGTGACTAGTTTATGCACCAATCTTGGTAATTTTTGTCACCTGTGTCATAATCACAACATCCTCCCTACTTCCCCATTCTCAGTATTCACCTTCTTAAAAGACCATTGATGATAAAATGTTGATTTATCCGAGAATAACACAGAATTTAATTCCAATTGGAAGTTAATTGGGTGAAAGTAAATAATAATTGGATAGAGACTCCACTCTACCAGTAAGATGATATTGATCCCTTGGTAACTAGACCCCCTTAATTCTCTGCTTTACCCCAAAGAGATTGTAATTATTATTTCACGGTGTACAAACATTTACGATGAAATAATCCTGCCTTTTGTACCTCCTTTGCTAAGGGGTTTTTTTTGTTAGTGTACACGATTGCTTTGGGCAAATCATATCACTTTTATTCAACTGTAAAAAGGACATAAGCACTAATAGCCGTTGACTGCAGTGACCAGTGGTCATTGTTCATGTTCTATTTTCCGTTTGCTGTGTTCGTTTTTCCAACATAATAAGAATATAAGGTGAAAGCTGGAAATAATTTGAGTTAATCATTTGGTTGTGTTTTTCTTAGATTTGACTTTTTGGCCCAAACAAATTCCATTAAATCCCTTTACTATTATTTTTTTTTTGTGTGTGTTATTGTTTCATTACAATAATAAAAAATAGTACCTGAAACAAGACATCTTTCTACAAGTAATGAACTACGTATTTTTCGAAAATGATAATCATAATAATTCACTCTGTTTTGTATTATATGTAACAATTTTCTTATCTCCTTCACATTGAAATAATTTTTTTTAAAGTGATACTAAAGAAAAAAATATATAAAAACATCATCAGATGATTTTATATCAGGGGTTTAGCCAGAAAAACGAAATAGGCTGTCCAAAATGGAAGCCATCTTTGGGAAACATTTGATAGATTTGAAGAATATAAAGAATTTGCTAAGGTAGACCAGGCCCAATTAGGCTAGGCCGAGCTGATTAGGCCAAGCCGTCACGGTAAAAGTAGCCGTCCAAAAAAATGGCCGGACGGCTCGCTGACTAAGCCTGTGTTTTATATTGAAAAATAAAACTAAGCCTGATTTGTAAAATGAGCAGACCATGGAGCTGCCTGCTTGTAGGAGATTTGAGCTGTGTATGGAGTGCTGCATTTAGGACTGAGTAGAATTCAATAGTAAAGATACGTTTGTCAGGATGAGTTCAAAATCTCCCAAGAGTATATTTGTCATGAAAATTTATGGATAAGATTTTGAAGAATCTTGCAAAACAAAGTTTGAACAATTTGAGTGTTATTAGCACCTGCATTATAAGATACTTCTTCTTTTGTTGCATATTCAGAATATTTTCCAGCTGATCACATTCCAAAATGCATCAACTAAACAAGAGTTTGTTTCTTGATTTTGGAATGTTGTGGATGATTGAAGGCTTAACATCATCTTCTAGCATTCCAATTGTCATGCAAGTCAAAAGTTTTGCATTTTCTTTTTTCTTTTGAAATTTGACAATGCAATGTCTATTGGGGCAATGTAATGTATATAAATTTGCTGTAGCACATAAAAAAAAGGTCTCATTGCGCTGTTATTATGAAAAAGAATTAAAAAGTTGAAAACAGATGTTGTATTACAGTAGATGGTTTTTGAAAAGGTTAAGAGATTGGGGCAGGGACGAGGTAGTTAATTCCGTAGCAGCAACCAAAAATACTGTCACCATAATACTTTATACTCCTGGGTGGAGAGAAGCAATGCAGAACTGATTTTTTTTTTTCTGTTTTATGTATTTATTAATCTTGTGACTACAGTGTGCTTCATGTATTTTGTGTTTGATAATATGCACCAATTCTTAATAATTACATTACAATAATTAAAAAAAAAAAAAACATTCAAATTTGTATGTGCTAATTGTACATACTGTACATATCACACATAATTCTGATGTACATTTCTATGTGAAAAATACAATGAATTGTCCATAAAAACCAATTTGAAATCCTAAGCAGTACTCATCTACTCAATTTGGTAAGCCTCCTTCGTTTAATAATCCTTTTGAAATTTCAACATCCTATTTGGTTTTTTTTTTCTTACAGAGAGAGTCCGAAGGATTCAAGAAAAACTAGAGGATTTCATTGCAGCACTCAACAAAGAGAAATAAAACAAATTAAGAATTGAATGCCATGGATTGTTAAAATATGAGAGATGGGGAATGAATCACATCTGGTCCCAGAACTGTATGTAAATATGGAGGAAAGAGAGAATGCTGAGGAAAAGAGAGAAAAGATTGGAAACAATTGCTATGAATTAAGGATTTCTATAGAAATATGACATTATGGAAAGTTTGATGTATTCCACAAACATAGTTTATCATTCATCAAGATATGAATGTTTGGACAAGAATAGATTGGTGTTGAACACCAACCATTACAAAACCAGGGGTATGAAAACATTTAAAGGCTTGGAAATATTATAAAAATATAGACAAAACTATTTAATAGTCTTTTTATCTAAGTCAAGTTAAACTGAGCATTTTATTTCATAGTTACGTTCGGTGCAAACTGAGATCCCGATGACGCGCATGCGTAGTTCCCCCGGCATATACAACGACCACGTTTGAGCGGTAACCGCTCAGAGTTACCCTTGACAGATAAAAATAAGTTTGTTTCTCGTCAAGGCGAAGCCCGGATAGGCCTATACAATAATAGTAACTACTATTGTATATTTGTTTTTCCGAGAATGAGTAAAACTCAAAGGGCAACCCCTACTAAGGATGGAATTTTGATTTCGAAACAGCCTACTTCTACAGACCCAGGCCCGACGAGCCAGCAGGCGCGATTGGTGGAGCCTGAGGTTGACCAGCTCTCTGCAAAAGGTGAGAAATTTGCAATGGCATTTGTCTGCTTTCTCTTCAATCTACTTGCCCCAATACTTACCCAACTTGATACTTGCCCCACTACGTACCCAATTTGACACTTGCCCCAATACTTACTCAACTTGACACTTGTCCCAATACTTACCCAACTTGACTAGTGTGGAACACTATATACAGTATCTTGAACAGACCAGAAGCAGGTTAGGATTTTTTTTTGGGAAAAATATTGGATTTATGTATTTTTTTCTTTTTTTGTTTATTTGGGTGTGTTGTCTTGTTCTGTATTTTATATTTTTCCTGTAATAAATATATGCTTGAATGAGTAAGATATTCTATATTCTGTTCTGATTGAATGTGTAAACAAACTACACCTCCCCTTCCTCACCCCTTTGCACCAAATATCATCAAATGCTGATGAAATTATCCATGTACCTGCTAATGCTTGAACGGTGGGGCTGTCCTATCTTCCCCATGTTCTTCCCCTTGACCCCCACTATCTACCTTCCAATTGGATCCCTGCCTCTCATTACCCCCTCCCCACCTCAGAGAATCTGGCCTGCAGTGTTCAACATGCAAACAATTCTACACCAGTTTACTACTGAATATTTGTTATTGAAGTTTTTCTTAAAACGGAAATAAAGAGTCGAAAAGAGGTTGAAAACAGTCTTAGAACGAAATGTACACTATTCATTACGAAGTCAAACCACTGTACTCTAATATCGAGGAAGTTGTAAAGGTTTCCAAATCGAAGACCAGTAATGTGCAATTGTTCAACTTGTATCATGCTCTCTATAGAACGGATTTTCTCCGGAACTATGAATCTACAGTTATATTTTTATCTATTTATGGCCTGTATAGAGGGTATCACCTCTGACACGATTATTATGCCCTCTATACAGCGGATCCTATGACGTTTTTACTTTAATTTGTTCCGAGGACGTTCAACTCGAAAATAGAGGCAAAGGACACCTTGTTGACTTACTTTCGGCCTCCAGAACAAATGGTAACGGTTGTGGGGACTTGGTTTCACTTCCCCTTATAGTTTTCGTGTATAAAGTAAGAACGTTCTGTGCATACTGTATGTCAGAAGAAAAGCCAAGAATAAAATGATAAGCAATTAAAGCTGCTAGTGTGTGAAAAGACATATCGTCCATGCGAAAAAAAAACTAACGAAAGTCCCACATTAAACGGTGATTAACAATTTTAATTTTTATTAAGTTTTAACAAATTTAGTACAAAATTCGCTGTGAGTGATACATTGAGGTTAAAGCTAAGCGAGTGTTTGACAAACAACACAAGAACAAGTTACGCTTTGTATTTAAAACTATGATATACCTTAAGGGCAATGAAACGTAGAAGCGGTTTTTAGAAAATCAGTGAAGCCCATAATTCCATTTTTTATTGTTCTCTTTATTCTTTAGCCTTCTTGGCCTCTTCTCGACTTTTAAAAGACTAGGTCAGAAGAAATTATGATTATGAAAAACCACAATTTAATCTGTAGAATGAAGAGTTCTGGTTTCGCTGTTGTTAATTGTTAAGCCTTCCTTCGGGCTTACTGTATATCGGGCGAACTTTAAAAATCTATTCCTTCTCTTGCGCGCTTTCTTGAATAGCATTATTAAGCGAATCAAATTGTGCGTTATAATGATGTTTAGTTAAATCATTATTATCATCGTAGTATTGCAAGACAGGTGTTAAGATTCCAGCAAATCACGTGACAATTATTATAGTTCAATTACACCATTTGTCTGTTTTCTTTCTGCATCTCGCCACGTGGGTACTTAACGGTAATGTGGTGAGCATTCAACATGAAGGTTTGTGTCTGGGACCGTCGTACAACGATAACTGGACCATAACATACTGCTATAACAAACGGAAATATTTTATTAAGTTGTAGGTCGAAATGATTTTCTAGTTCTATTGATAGGCATATCAATACAACTAATTAACCGATCTGTTTTTAGCTACCGTACGGTAATGACCGTCGACGGAACTATTGGCAAAATATTGTGAATGTGTTCAGTTTGTCAACCAGTCGAATTTTTTTTAGGTGCGCGGCTTCGGTGTTCCCACACACTCATAAAATATTTATTAAAAATCACTTTTATTCAATAAACATACACAACAAAGAAGACAGAAGGAGAAGAAAAGAAAAACAGAACTTTACAGACAAGGAGGGAAGACAAAGATAAAACTATCGCGTAGAACTGTCGAAAATGAGTAATTATCGAGAATGTTAGGCGTTTAACATTGTTGATGCTCGCGTCCTTAATTATAATATAATTATTTCTATAATTTATATTGTCTTTTTTATTTACCTTTTTGAATATGGTCAATTTTATTTTGACGAATATTACAATAGGCTTAAGTGTTGTCATATTTCGTACTACTACCAAATAATCCGATATTTAAGACTCTTCATTGAAAAACCCACTCTGGGAGTACCAATATGCTTAGTACCCATAGGTAGGACTTATACCTCCATGGTAGGACGATGTCCTGGGCTGGCCTTCTCATGCTGATGCTGATAAACACGCTTCCTGATTCACTTTTCTTCACTAATGAGGTATCGTTCCTAAATTCTAACTTCAGCCTGCGGCTCGACTCGATTCTGTTGTTAATGCTAAACGCAATTATCAACTGCTACTCAAGTCTTTCTACCCCAAGGCATATTCCCACGCCGGCAAAATGGCTATACGCCCGGCAGACGGTCGTCGACGGCAAGGGACTCAAAACCACCAAGCAGAAGGAATATTATCCGGAAATTCAAGTAACAAGTGAAGCATTTTGGTACATTGTAACGAAACTTTTAAGTAATGGAACTGATTGAAGCGCCATTGGCCATTCAAAAGTTTACTTGACGTTATTGGTCTGTGGCGATGTTGACTTGATTTCGTGAGAACGTGTGTGGTGGAAAATAAGCTACCCGGAGATATGTTCAGTAGGATTCGGAAGGTCAACCTCACACACTCCGTCGAAGTGTACTAGGTCCATAGATGACGTAATAACGGGGTGTGTGTGTGTGCTTGCGCGTGCGTGAATGTGCTCCAAAATTACCCGTCAAACATTTAAAAAAGGTTAAATAAAGAAAGTATAATATCATATATGGGATATATACGAACATATAGGGTCTGTGATAAAATGAACAACCACAATTATTTTATTTTAAACCTTTCGACCTTAAAAATAAATGTGTATATTAGAATATGAAGAATATGTTTATAAAGCTTTCATCAAAGCTTATTCAATTCATTTTCAACAAAGATTAAATATAATTAAATTATTGTATTGTTTGAAGGTTTGCATGGCGAAGTAGTAACATATATGTTAAGCTTGCGGTACACCACGTAGAAGTTCTGAAAAGAACAGTTGTAGTTGAGAAAGTCTCGACGTTTCGATTGAGTTGCTTCAATCTTCATAAATTAAATTAATTTGCAATAGGCCTACATGATGTTACTATTAATTTTTATTTTCATTTATGTAGTCAAAGGAATCCATGATTTAACCCACTACGTGTGCACAAATCTGATGCGTTCTGTTCCTGTTCATTAATATTTCCCTATGATATGTCGTATAAAACAAGAAAACACAAAGGCATAGATAATAATAGCAAAACTACACTACGTAGAATGATGCGTTATTCAAAACTATGAAACTTTCCTGTACTTAAATGTTGTTCACAAAACAACAGCGTAAATGTACGTAACTTGCGGGACATGCGCTTATTTCTGACTCTATTCTGATTGGTCAGTTGATAAGTTTGATTGGCACTTCGGGAAAGTCCATTATAGTGAAGGTGGAGAATACCGATCGCTGAACGCTAAGAATGTGTAAAACTGAAATACAAGTGCTGGGCCACGCGAGTAAACTTGACAGGTCGTTATGCGTGAACAATAGCCGTGGGCACAAAGCGTGCGACACGGGTTACCATCCCAGCAAGGTTGGTGTGGCCAAACGAAAAGCTAGCCTACTCGCTACAAATCTACACATTATTCTTGTTATTGACACTTTCTTCTCCTTTCCCAATTAACAGAACGTGGGAAGGAATCGCTTTTCTCCCTCAGCATTGGTTCGATAATTATAGAAAAACCCACCGTGCTTGATCCAAAAATTCTTCTCATTTTTCCTTCAAGTATTTTTATTGATATCAGGTCGTGTTTTTATTACACGTTTCTGCAAGGTGAGCGGCAAAACTTCAAAGGTTAGTTTAGTGAATCATCAGTAGTTTCATAAGCAAGCCGATATTTTTACCTTGAGGTGGCCGTTTGTTGTTGAGGATATACTGTGACCGCGCTTCTGCCGCAATAATTAGCAGAGCTTGACTTTAAATCTTTAAACGGCCTAACATATATAGAACGGTAATATTGGACCTATGTAGGAACATTTATTTTCTCCGTGGTAGAGGCAAATTAAAACACGCTTACTATTCATTATGTTAATTAATTATTATAAAAGTGGACGCAAAAAGCAGGTATGGGTCGATTACTGTATAGACCTATAGGTTGCGAGTTTCCGGTCATCTGTCGTTTAATATACGCTCTAATTTGCAATCTTACATTCTTAGATTTTATGTAATAGGAATAAAAATTTGTGCACTGTTTTTTTTTTTAAACAGTAA